AACAAAAGCAAAGACAAAAACCACATGGTCATATAGATAGATGTGGAAAAAGCTTTTGATAAGGTACAACACCCATTTATGGTAAAAACACTCAGCAAAGTGGGAATAGAGGGAGCATTCTTCAATATAATAAAGGCCACATACAAGAGACTTTCAGCCAACATCATACTCAATGGGCAAAAACTAAAATCTTTTCCATTAAGATCAGGGACAAGACAAGGATGTCCACTTTCACCACTTCTATTTAACATAGTACTGGAAGTTTTAGCCACAGTGATCAGACAAGAAAAGGAAATAAAAGGCATCCAAATTGGAAAGGAGGAAACAAAACTGTCACTGTTTGCAAATGCAAATGCAAACAGTGTACATGGAAAATCTTATAGACTCTACTCAAAAACTGCTCGACCTGATAAAATGAATTTGGTAAAACAGTGGGTTACAAAGTCAATATCCAGAAATCAAAGGTACTTTTATATACTAACAATAAATCAGCAGAGACAGAAATCAAGAAAAAAATACTATTCTATATAGCAAAAACAAAAATAAAATATCTGGGAATAAATCTAACCAAGGAGGTAAAAGACCTGTATGCAGAAAACTACACAACACTGAAGAAAGAAATCAAGGAAGACACAAATGGAAACATATACTGTGTTCATGGATTGGAAGAATTAACATCATCAAAATGTCCATACTACCCAAAGCAATTTACAGATTCAATGCAATACCTATTAAAGTACCAATGGCATATTTCACAGACATAGAACAAACACTTCAAAAATTTATATGGAACCATAAACAAGCCTGAATAGCAGCTGCTATTTTGAGAAAGAAGAACAAAGTAGGAGGAATCACAATACCTGGTATCAAATTGTATTACAAGGCCACTGTAACCAAAACAGCATGGTACTGGCATAAAAAGAGGCACATAGACCAATGGAACAGAACAGAGAGCCCAGAAATCAACCCAACTCTCTACAGTCAATTAATATTCGACAAAGGGGCCAGTAACATAAAATAAACTAAAAATAGCCTCTTCAACAAATGGTGTAGGGAGAACTGGACAGCTCCATGCAAAAAATGAAACTTGAGTACCAACTTACACCATACAGAAAAATAAATTCAAGGTGGATAAAAGACTTAAATATAAGCCATGAAACCATTAAAATCTCAGATATTTCACGCAGCAACTTTTTTACTGATATGTCCCCTAGAGCAAGGGACATAAAGAAAAGAATAAACAAATGGGATCTCATCAAAATTAAAAGCTTCTGCATGGCTAAAGAAATCAGTATTAAAATAAAAAGACAACCAACTGTATGGCTACCTCAAACAAGGGTTTAATCTCCAAAATATACAAAGAACTTACACGACTCCACTCTAAGAAGACAAATAACCCAATTAAAAAATGGGAAAAGGACTTGAACAGACACTTCTCCAAGGAGGACATACAGAGGATCCAGAGACACATGAAAAGATGCTCAGTATTGCTAGCTACCAGAGAGATGCAAATTAAAACCATAATGAGATACCACTTTACACCAGTCAGAATGGCCATCATAAACAAGGCAACAAACAACAAATGTTGGAGAGGTTGTGGGGAAAAGGGGACCCTAGTTCACTGTTGGTGGGATTGCAGACTGGTACAACCATTATGGAAAACAGTACGGAATTTTCTAAAAAACTAAAAATGGACCTGTCTTATGACCCAGCAATTCCATTGCTGGGACTATATCCTAAGAACCCTAAAACACCAATCTAAAAGAACCTATGCGAACATCATCAAGTGTACTTAGAAAAAACTAGATGGCATAGCCTACTGCACACCTAGACTATATGGTGTAGCCTATTGCTCCCTGAACAGAATGTTACTGTACAAAACAACATGAGATCAAATCAAGTGCAAGAAAAAATGATGCAATCATGAGACAAAGTAAACACGAGGTGTATGAGGCTGCTGCTGGCTCAACACGCATGCTGTCTTATAGCAAACTTTTTTTTTTTACAAGTAGAAAGCATACTTGTAAAAATATTAATAAAAGTATAATAAACACAGTCACTTATTATTATGTATTGTGCACTGTACATAATTGAATGTTTTACGCTTTTAGAAGACTGGCAGCATACTAGGTTTGTTTATATCAGCGTCACCACAAACGCATGAGTAATGCACTGTACTATGATGTTGTGATGGCTATGATAACACTAGGCGACAAGAATTTTTCAGCTCCATTATAATCTTATGGGACCACCATTGTATATGAGGTCCGCTGTTAACAGAAATGTTATTTTGTGGCGCGTGACTGTGCTTATATACACACATAAATATGTTTATATATTTATAAGCAAAATTAGCAAAATGTTAATAATTGTTAAAGTTGGGTGATAGCAACATGGAAATTATGGAAGCTCGTGAAATTATTTTCTCTACTTTTGTATATGTTTACTTACAGATTTCATTAATTAAAAGGTAAAGAAGGAAGGAAGAAGGAAAGGGGAGACAGGAAAGGAGAGAAGAAAGGAGCTGATTTGAGCCAGATCAATAAGTAAACCTGCAGAATGTGTGCTATAAAATTTCCTAATGCCCAGAAGCCTTATCTTAGATAAGACAAGCTTAGGCCATGGGAATGATCAGACTGAGAAGTGTCCTACCAATGTTAATGGAATAATCTATGTCCTAATTAGCAAACCGCCCCACCTGAGCTGCCATTCTAGCCTTCTAGCAGCATGCCTACTGCATTTGCCTGAATAGGAAGTATGCTCCGCCCCCCCCCCCCCATCTGTAGCATCTGCTCCTTTCATTCCTTCTCTGAGATAGCCCGAGAGAGATTGGGTCAAGCTGGCTAGGTCTATGACCAGATAGCCAGTTGTCCCTATAAATTCATCTGGACCAGTACTGGCAGCAGTTTGTAATAAAAAATTCATCTTTGCTCACGAAAATTCATCAAGAAACTGCTTGGAGGGCAATAACTTGAGCAGTCAAACACTGTAGGTGATAATAAACTGAAATTTCCTTTACTCATCACTACCCACCAACAATTTGGGAGGTTCAGAACTAGTGGTATGTGCAGTATGTATTCTATATATTAAAGAAAGGTCACAAGGGATGATGCACACCTCTGCTTCCCCCCTTAGGACAATCATTTTTTTAAAAAAATGACTTTTGTAGACTTGCCCTAACATCATACAGCATTAATCTCCATGAAGGTTTATAGCACTGGGAACACCGGGATATGGAAGTTACCAAAATCAGTAAGACAGGGAATAGCAGTAGATCAGGATAAACAGGCTCCACTTCAACCAACGGGCATATAAAGGCCATTTCCTCTCCTGGGACACCAAAGCTTTCTTTCTTCAGCATCATATTGGTAAGGCAAAATGACCAAGTTACTGCTAGTTCCTCTGTAGCTTCACAGCAATTATGTCCTCTTAGAATTATAGCTATATGTTTTGAATGTCTGCTTTTCCTTTGCTCGGGCTAAGGCAGCCTCAGTGGGATCACTGGCATGTGGGTAGGTTCCTGGGGATCTGCCTGCTTAAGGGCTAAGGTTTTTTTGGAGTGGATGGAAGCCTAGACTTAGGACCAGTGCAAAAGCTATCATATTCAAGGTGTGAATATAGAGCTACTACCAAATGGCTAGGTAGGGAGTTCAAAAGCTGAAAATATCAGAAATAGATAAAAAAAAATAGAAGAGAAATGTTGAAGGCTCAGGCTAAGATGCTGAGAGTTGGTGTACAGCAGGCTGTGTCCATGTGGTACCAAACTAAGTCAATTGGTTTAAAGGTACAGAATTGGGCCAAACATAACAATGTATTTTCTAATACAGGATATTATCTGTAGCACTGGCTACCTTGATACATCCTAATTTGAAAAAAAAGAAGAGAAAGCCTGCCATGATGACAACTGTACTTCACAAAGAGGATAAATTCCTAAATGACCACTTTTTTCCATTCAAATAACGTTACCATCTCCCAAAGAACAGTTTTGGGGCTGGAAAGAACAGTATTTCATTTCAAGCTGGACTACTCATCTACCAAAATACCATTCTGACCAAAGAAACAGATGCAGAATTACAGTCACAGCTGCATTCTATACAGAGCGAGTTGCCTAATGGTACTCTAAATTGCTAATTACACTGCTAATGATTTTTTTAGTGGCATTGCAGTATTTTTCCACCTTTGTTTAAATTTTTTTAAAAAGCACCTAGGAACTTTTTAAAGTAGTAAACTGTTAAATAGTAGTGAGTCTTCCAAAAAAAATTCCATATAAAACCATTTCTTGAAATGGCAAGCTCATATGAGTTTTTGTGGGAGCCTATTTATTGACTAGCTATTTGTTGTAATTTACTTTCTCACCAATTTACTTGCACTTGAGATTACTGAGGCCCTAAGTATCTCAGTATTAGTGTTTGCATCTAGATCCATAATGGTAAGAAAAGATAATAAACTAACATATGTCATGATATGCTGGCACTGGGAATGTGCTATGACTAGATTTACAAAAAGTAATAGCAACTGTACAATTTTATTTCTATTGTGACAACCATGGTGAAATTTATTACAGTGTATTTTATTGTTTAATCATGCTAGCATAGCTGAAGAAGGTAATTACATTTTTGATATAAAAATGCTTTTAATGTTTTTATTTCAGATATTATAGATGGCTAGAAAATGTATATTAAAGTATTGCCATTGTTCCATATTGCTTCTTGTGCATTTAAGTGGCAGAATATTTTTCTACATATAGGAAATTAATTTCTACCAAATTATTTCATAAGGTTTCTAAATAATTTGCCTCTTAAAGGAAAACCTCCAACTGGCCAGGAATTTCCATACATTAGATTTATAAGACTATATTATATGCAGGAAATGATGTACCAATCACAATTATGTCAAAATGTTTTTTCATTATTTTTATATTTAGTAAGGTAAATTAGCTGTTTAAAAATTAAGAACACAATCTTCATATGCAATTACAAACTTGTTAAGTAACTACTTACATTTACTTCCAAAGGGTCATCCAATTTCAGTGATCTTTTAACACTGCAAACAAAATATTTGAAGAAACCTTAGATTTGCTATGTTTTAAGCAGCCAAATATTTAAGAGTAATACATATAAAGATTCTAAGTTACTTTCATGAAGTAGAATACAATAAGAAAGCAATTTTTACAAAACGGTTTTTTAATAGCATATTCAAGGTGGAATCATAATTAAACATTTAAATGGTTCTTTTTATGCATTATGTGCTTATATATGCATTATGTGCTTATATATGCATTATCATACAATTTAATTGTTAAAGTCATATTATAAAATAATCAGTAAAAGTTACTATTTATGTGTTTTAAAATACCACAAATAAAAATTATATCTAAGAGCAAAATAACTTACATACCTTCAATGGAGATATTGAAGGAATATTATTTGTACAAATAATGAACTTAAAATAGAAGTATGAGCAAGGTGAAAAAAGTTATACACATTTTTTGTAGCTTTAAACATGATTCAGTGCTACCAGACTAGGACTTGGCTGAGGAACAGATGCTCTATGTCTTTGTGAGTCCCCAATCCATATGAAACTATTTTTTGTCTCCTTCACTAAACCGATTCAAGAACATGCCAGGCTCGCTCTGTGCAAAATCTGTTCTGCTAAACTGGATGCCCAGCTGTTGGTGACAATGCTTAGAAAGGAAAGCTGAATATTTATAATACTTTATTTCATACAGCTGTCTTCTAAAGAGCAGTCATCAACATTTTATTGAATGCGGATTAAATGCTCAAAGGAGAAAAAGGTCAATATAAATTAAAACAAGTTTTCCCAATGACAAACACAGAGATAAAAGTACTTTCTTGATCTGTGAGAGAAATTCTTATTTAAAATATTCAAGAATTTGAGCATTAGGAAAAAAAGGTTGTAGTATAAATAACAGTTACAGCATAGAAAACCAAAAACTTATACATCCTAGAAATCACTTTTCATAAATAACTGACTACTGACTTTTCAACAAGTGACAGGAGTGAGAAAAGTAAAAGGGATGGACAATTTATAGTAATTAGTAGACAGTAAATATTAAATACAAAAATTTTATCCAAAAAGGGTTCACTTAAATTTGCTATTACATCTACATTAGCCTATCACATAATAACATTATTTCTTGAGATTAATTAAATTGGTTTAAAGAATTAGTTATAATTATAGACTTTAGAAGTCTACTTGAAATCAATTGAATTCGAATTCTCAATGAAGCAGTAAGAGAGGTAAGAACAAGTAAAAATGGCAGATAATCCAAAAAGGTATTTACATTTAGCTCTGGAATATATATCACCCTATTCAGGTGAGTGAGATGTTCTGGCATTTAATAAAACTTCAAAAACAGAAATAAAAATTTAAAAGTATGCAGTAGGGCATTTTATTATCCTTTGTTGTCAAATGCTGTTAAAATGCAATACTACTTTTCAGAAGGAAACAAGCCCCACCCTGTCACTACAGCTCAAAATATTTTTGTTTTATTATTGATGGTTAATTCCTTGAAAAAGGAACTAAATGTTTAGATTTAAAGACTTCTAGTTTAGGTGCTATGATGATCTCAAAAGTCCAAGGAAACATGTAAAAGTAAACAAAGTGAACACAGTTAGAATATCTTCCAGTTTAACACTTCAGTGAGAATCTAAAAACTTGATTTATTGTGGGAAATGTAGTTTTCCCATAATTCAGGCATCTAATAATCAAAAACTGAAAATATTTACAAGAAAAAAATTTAATAGACAAGATTGGAAGAAATCAGAGAAATCACTTAGTTCCCCAACAGGGGCAAGTTGGTGTGACTTGACCACTATCACACAGCTTGAGAAACTCACATCTCAGGTCGTGTGCATAAGAAATATTTGTCAAATTGAGGGGAAAAGGTAAAGAAGAAGAAACCTACTAGAGGAATTTATGACCATCTATTCTTACCATTCTGTTAGAACTGGGCCCACTGTCAAGGTATCAATTATTAAAGCACCTACCATATGCTTTACCCTTAAAAAATTTTTTTACCCACAAACAACTATAATACAAGCATGAGATGATGTCAAGCAGGTTAGGGTAATATTAACAGGAACAGAGAGAAGAGATGTATGAAATATATACATAAAGGGAGAACAGGCAAAACATGATATTTTCCTAAAGTATTCATTCACTTGCTACCAGTCTTAGTCAGCAATTCAAAGTGATATCTCTCTGGTAGTTCTGTGAAGTTTATAAGCAGCTCTTGTGGTTACTAACTTAGTTGTAAAAAACTGGGCACTCAAAAACAGGCAAAAACCCAAGCAGGCATGTCTCCAAAAACACACAACAGGCTGATGAACACACGAAAAGATGCCCAACATCACTAGTATTAACAGCAGCACTAATATTAAGGAAATGCAAATCAGAACCACAGTGAGATGTCACTTTAAAACCACTAGAATGGCTACTACCAACCCCCACCCCCCGCAAAAAAACCCTACAAGAACAGAAATTAAGTATTGGCCAGGATGTGGAGAAATTGGAACTCTTACGCACTGTTCGTGGGACTGCACAATGTTACAGATGCTCGGGAAAACCGTTTGGCAGTTCACAGCAGTTTTATTCACAACAGCCAAAAAGTAAAAGTAATGCAAATATCCATCAACAGATGAATGAGTAAAGAAAACTATATATGTACACATACATATGCCCACATTGGAGGATTACTCAACCTTAGAAAATTCTGATACATGCTACAACATGGATGAACCTTGAAAACATTATGCTAAGTAAAACAAGCCAATCACAAAAGACAAAAACTATGATTCCACTCACATGAGGTACTCAAAGTTGTCAAATCATGAGAGAAAATAGAATGGTGGTTGCCAGGGGTGATGAGGGAGTTACTGTTTAATGGGCACAAAGTTATAGTTTTCCAAGATCAAAAAGTTTTGGAGATGAATGATGCTGACTGTACATGAATGTACTTAATGCCAGAGAACAGTACACTTAAAATGGCTTAAATAATAACTTTTATGTTATGTATTATTTTAACACTAAAAAATTAAATTACTCTAAAATGATTCCTAATTAAAAAGTAGGAATGACACCTCAAAAACTCATGCAATTACATGACTTGAGACTCTCTTACAGGATTTTTAAAACCTTGGATTACTTATTTTGATTAGCTGAACTGAGGGTAACACTATGTGTTGAGAGGGAGGGTAGAAAGATAAACTTGGTGAAGCAGGTAAGACTCAGGGAGCCTTGGTGCTACCTATGCCAAGTTTTCTCCCTAGATTAGGCAAATCACAATCTCACTGAGCTTCACGAAGTTGGTAAGACTGGCCTAAAAACTTATAGAGAATTTATCAATGGAAAATAAAAGTATGACTTAGTATGTTAGTGTTTCCATTTACTCCTCACTATAATGGAAATGATAATATTGCCAGCTACAACTTCACAGGAATATATAGGATTATTGAGTATGCTTATGACATACTTAGATGAGATACCTGGATGAAAGGCAATGGCCAAATTCACATCCCATGTGACTCCTTAGGCGTAAATTGAGATATCTAAAATATTTTTTCCACTCTATGTATAAGAAGGATCAATATCCTAACCAGTTATTGCACAACATGTTTATAATGTCAAAACCATCTTTATTAAAAAATTAATAAAGAATTAGCTAAATTATTCTTATAGAAGCAAAAGAGACATATTTGGGAATAATGACCCCAGAAGATAAACAGATGAGGGTTAAGATGTTCTTGGGCTGCCCTGGCCAGTGTGGCTCAGTTGGCTGGTGCATCATCCTGTACACCAAAAGGTTGTGGTTAGACTTCTGGTCAGAGCACATACCTAGGTTGCAGGTGGAATGTTTGTATGGCAAGCAACCAATTGATGTTTCTCTCTCATTCTCTTCCTCTGTCTCTAAAATCAATAAACATGTATTTTTTAAAAAGATGTTCTTGGGTTGAATAAAGTGAGAAATGCCATAAAATTATTTCACTCCTAAATGGGTAGTCCAAAAAATGAACATTAATATTCACTACTATTACCTTCTGCAAGAAACATATAAACATGTGCATCATCACACAATACATATAAAAAGCATAAATCCTTACTATTGAAAGGGGCCAAAGAGGTTTGTCAGAATTAAATATGGCAAAGGGATTTTATATACTTTCTTGTATGCATTATATTTTGCAACATAAATATTAATAATAATCCATTAACATTGATGCTACCCTACCCTTGAGATTCCAGCACAATAATTTCTAAGAAGTTTCCCCTGAAAATGTCCAGTTTACACTAAGGATCTTTCTGCTCTACACCATAGCACCTGTACATGTCTCCTTCATGAAACGTGTCATGTTGAAATAGTCTATTTAGTCTAAGACACTTACAATATCAGGACCTTGTCAGTTAACTGGTAAGTTATGAGTTCTAAAAATGCCTGTTCAACTACCTCTCCCACTGAAATTAAAACGCCTAGAGAGGTACAGTATCTGTTCACACTGGAATCCCAAGGCCTGACACAGTGACTGGCACAAAGTTATAGAAATTAATAATTTATATTTATTTTTAATTTAAAACCTGCCTCAAATCCCAAAATATATTTACTTCCTTTAATTTTAATGATCCTCTCATTTTTGTTAAGGCTGTTTAAATGTAGGTTCTCAAAGGATGTCATACTAACATGGTTTTAATCTCTAAAACAGTCTCTTTTTAGACTATTAGACTATGCTCAAATAGTGGATTTGTGTCTTATCAGTTGTGGAAAAATCCATCATAATCTCGTCAAATACTGACTGGCATTCATCCTACCTTTTTGAGACTTCCTCTAGAAGTTATTCTAGACATTTTCATTAATTATCTAAGTCTCTAAATTCCTATATTTGATCATTGGTCTCTATGCTTTTTGGCAATTTCTTCAGATGTTTGTCAGTTGTCCAATTCTTAATCCCACTCTAATTTATGATCTACTCTATCATTAATACTTTCAGTTTTAAAAACAATTTGATGAGTTTTTTTTGTAAGTTAATTTTTATATAACTTTAAACTTAAAAACAGTTCTAGGAAAAAGACTTGTTATCTTTTACTCAGTCTGCCACTTATTTACATTCTGACCCATGTTTTATCATTCTCTTGCTATACACATATACGTATATATGATGAATAATCTTTTTCTGAGAGTAAGATAGAAACATCATATACATTTACCCATAAATATTTCTAAGAACGACATTTTCTCATATAAGCATAATACAATGATCAAAATCAAGACTTGTTTTAGATATAGTTGACATAGAACATTCATTTCAGGTATATAACATAATAATTTGATATATGTATATACTGTGCATTAATCATCATGTCTACTTAAGATCCATCACCACACAGTTACAAAGTTTTTAGATGTACACTCCGCAACTTTTAAATATACAAAACAGTAATATTTATTATAGGCTGTACATCCCCAGGACTTACTTATTTTGTAACTGTAAGTTTGTACCTTTTGACCACCTTCACTGACTTCATCCACCTTAACCCTTCACCCTTGGCCACCACTTCCAGCAACCACCAATCTGTACTGTGTCTGTAAATTTGTTTTTTTCCTTAAGATTCCACATATAAGTGAGATCATACAGTATTTGTCTTTTTCTGTCTGATTGATTTTGCTTAGTATAATGCCCTCAAGATCCATCAATATTGGAGCAAATGGCAGAAATTCCTTCTATTTAATGGCTGAATAGTCTTCCATTGTATATGTACGCAACACTTCTTTATCCAATCATCTCTTGGTGAATACTTAGGTTGTTTCCATGTCTTGGCTATGATAAATAATGCTGCAATGTACATGGTGGGGTGGGCAGTGAAGATATCTTCACAAGTTAGTATTTTTGTTCCCTTTAGATAAATACACATAAGTGGAATTGCTAAATCATATAGTAGTTCTATTTATAATTTTTAGAGGAAAGCCCATACAGTTCTTCAGTGACTGTACCAATTTACCTCCCTACCAACAGTGCACAATGGTTCCTTCTTTATCAGGTACTCAGCAGCACTTGTTATCTCTGGTCTTTTTTGATGTCATTCTAATAGATGTAAGGTGGTATCTCATTGTAATTTTGATTTGCATTTCCCTGGTGATTAGTGACGTTGAGTAGTGCTTCCACGTACCTACTGGCCATCTGTATGTTCTCTTTGGAAAAATGTGTTTAGATCCTCTGCCCATTTTTTTAACTTTTTTTTTTTTTTTGCTATTGAGTTGTATGAGTTCTCTATCTATTTTTGTTATTAATCCCTTATAAGATATATGATTTGCAAGTATTTTCTCCCATTTCATAGGTTGCCTTTTCATTTTGTTGATTTCCTTTGCTGTGCAGAAGCTCTTTAATTTGATGTTGTCCCCCTTCCTTATCTTTGCTTTTGGTGTCAAATCCAAAATATCATCACTGAGACTGATGTCAAGAAGCTTACTTCTAGAGTTTTATGGTTTCAGGTCTTATGTTTAGGTTCTTAATATACATTGAGATCATTTTTGTTTATGGTGTAATATAGGGGTCCAGTTATTCCAGCACCATTTACTGAAGAGACTGTCCTTTTCCTACTGTATATGCTTGGCTCCTTTGTTGTAAATTAATTGACCATACACATGTGGTTTTTATTTTGGGGCTCTCTATTCTATTTTGATTACTACAGCTTTGTGATGTAGTTTGAAATCTGCATGGTAACTTCAGCTTTGTTCTCTTTCTCAAGGCTGATTTGGCTATTTGGGGTCTTTTGTGGTTCCATAAAAATTTTATGATTTGTTCTATTTTTTTTAAATGCTATGGGAATTTTGATAATGCTTGCATCAAATATATAGATTGCTTTGGGCAGTGTGAATATTTAAACATCCATTTTTCCAATCCATGAGCATAGACTATCTTTCTATTTATTTGAGTGTTCTTCAATGCTTCATCAATGTCTTACAGTTTTCTGGTCTTTTCACCTCCTTGGTTACATTTATTCCTGGGTATTTCATTCATTTTGATGCAATTATAAACAGGACTGTTCTCGTAACTTCTCTTTTTGGTAGTTTATTATCAATGAAAATAATGCAACTGATTTTTTATATATTAATCAAATTCAGGAAATTAATCATTGATACAAATTATTACTAACAGTTCACATTCAAATTTTATCACTTGTTCTAATAAGTTCTTTGGTAGCCAATTTTCTACCCAGTCTAAGATCCAATCCTGGATCACTCATTGCATTTAATTGTCCCACATCTTTCATCCCCCTTAGTCTAGAACAATTCGTCAACTTTCTTTTTCTTGATTGTAACATTTTTTCCAAGAGTTTAGGCCAAAGATTTTTGTAGAATATCTGTCAATTTTGGTATACTGGATATTTTCCCATGAAGTTAAGTATTTTGGAGCAGAAATATTGTGAAAATGACGATGCATTGTCTTGAGAGCATGTTAACTTGAGGCACCTGATACTGGTTTGTCACAAGACAAGTGGCATGTTTTGGTCATTGATTAACAAGTTATTTGCCAGTTTTCTCCAATGTAATAAATAAGAAAACTTATATGTAAATATCTTGTTTCATATCAAACTTTCTCCCAATACTATTAAAGATTTTTAAAAAGTTTTTATTTATTGAATTGAGATAGAAAGGAAGAAAGAGGGAGAGGGAAGGAGGGAAACATGAATCTGCTACATCACTTATCTGTACAGTCAGTCATTGGTTGCTTCTTGTATGTGTCCTGGCTGGGGATAAAACCCACAACCCTGGCATATCAAGACAACACTCGAAACAACTATGCTACCTGATCATGGCTCTTCCAACACTTTTAAGGAGCCACTGATGATTTTCTATCATTTTAAAAATATTTGTTAGCACTGTACTCCAAAAGCTTTCCTTTCTCCTCTTTATTTATATATCACTATGAAATGATGGAATTTTATTTTATCTAATGGATTACAATCAATTTGTATCACTTATTTTGATATTTCATTGTCCCAGATTTGGCAATGGGATCTTTCCCCTTCACATTGCCCTTAACAGAACTGTAATTGTATGACTACTTCCTTACTTACCAGCATAAAAAAATGTTCTCTGTTCCAGTCCTAGAATTAGCTTTGGCTTCAGTAAGACTTGGCTTTTTGTGTTTTTTTTTCATTGTTTGTTTTGTCTTCTTTCTTTTTTTTTTGTGGACAATGACATTTAGAAATCAAGATCTGGGCATTAAGTAGTCATTACTACTTAATGTCATTGCTTATAGCTAATGGACAAAGCTAAAACAAAATGCCTACACATTCTATTTACTTGTATCTTCACATGTACATTTTAAAAATCCATGATTGCATATTGGTACTTCCAATACCAAGCCAAAATATTTTAAATTTCTCTATCTCACACCGAAAACCTAGCTCCCATGATTTTCAATCCACTTATCATTTGCCCAAGCCTACCACACATAAACTAGTTTTGTAAGTGCTAACCCATACCTCTTGCAAATCAAATCTATTCAATAAATATTTGCCTAGTAGTCTTAAAATGTGAAACATATATGCAGTCATTTGCTGTGTGTTAAACAGTATTTCAACATAGTTTTAATTTTAATATCCCTGGTGTCTAAGATATTTATTTGCCATTCATATAACTTTTTATTAGGCATTGGTTCAAATCTTTGACCCATTATTTTAGTAAGGTTTTTGTCTTTTTACTGTTGAGTTGTAAGAGTTCTTTATATATTTTTAAATATAAATTCTACATCAGATAAATGTGCTGTGATGTCAACCTCAACTTTAAGATCATATATTTACTGTCAGAATACATTTACCACAGATTCTTCTCATATAACATGTGTGTTAATATCCCAAAGTTCCATTTTTAATAGTTTTCTGATTCCCCACAACTATAAGAGGGCAGAATCACAGTTCAGGACATATCACCCCTTATATATTAAACAAATACACACCAGTTTCCATTGTATGACTACTTAGGAGGGATTTTGCTACATCATGCTTGCAGTTTCTCAAAAGTGCTAATGGGATTTTTTTTTTAAAAATAGTGCAGCAGTAGGGAGACAAGTCTTCTTAATTCTGGGGAAAGAGAAAACCTCTTCAATAATCTATAACTTTCAATGATATAAGTGAAACACATTATTGATATACTTATGTATCAGACACCATACTAAGTGCTGAGTTTCCTTATCTGGCAATTAGAGATACCAGCAGCTCCTACCTCCTGAAGTCCGTTCTTGGGATTCAATGAGAAAAGGTAAGTAAACTAAACCCTCTACCAAATTATAAAGATTCAATAAACGTCGGTTATTTCTTTACATTTTTCCACTTTCATGTCGATTCCTATGTGATACAAATACATCCCTGCTGTGTTACTTCTCATCTGACTCAAACCAAAAAATAACGGAGGAATAAATTACTCGAGAAATGCACAAGAGGGGAGACCTGAGTCAACCTGGGGGCAAGGGACAGCTGGAGAATTTCACGTTAGATATTAATCCCTCCACCCCAAAGAAAAACTTCTTCAGTGAACTTTTCAACGTTTCTACAAAGCAGCAACAAGTAAGCACGCCACAACTGGCTATGCTTCCTCGTTTCAGAGCTGGAATCCTGGTCTTCTGAGACCCAGTTCTTGAGTTGTCCCACAAATTTATACGAACTAACCACACTAAAGGGCGTTATCAAATTATATGGCGCCTTTCAATCTACTGTATCACATTCTTGGTATGTTCACCATATTTGAAATTATTTCAAGAACTAAATACATCGCTAAATACAGCCATAGCCTATAATCAGCCAAAAGCCTTGGAATATCGGAATTAAAGTGGATCGAGTCTACCGGAAAACTACGGCTTGAAGATGAGCACAGGTGGACTGAAGGTACCAAGCACTACGAAATGTCGATGGAGGAGTCAAGTTTATACTCAGAAAAGTAGAACAAAAAAAGGTTATTGGGCCACACAATATTTACTTTTGTTGCCCACAGAGACGCCCGACAAACAGCAATACCTGGGGGGGAGATACCTACGGCATTTTCACATTCAGGGAAGGATCGCCGCCGCTGGATAACACTAACGGAGCAACCTCGTTCGAAAACAGAGAACCTCCCGAAGAAAACACAGAAGCCTGAAAAGCGCGGGCGAGCTTTCGCCTGTCGTTGTGTCACTCTCAACGTAGCCCGCCGGAAACACCACCTTCGCGACAACGGATCCGAATGCAAGCGGGGAAAGGAGGAAGAGAGTGTCCATCTAAGACCTCATCCAGTCCCTCGCAGCGTAGCGCAGGACCCTCTCTCACGCTTCTGGCTGAAACAGCTTCTGATGGAGGAGCAACAGAACCGTCTCTGATCACTGTGGGTTAACGATCCCTTGATTTCTAGCCGGACCATTTGGGGAGTGCTCTATATCGTATTTCCGGTGGTGGAGCGAAGCAGTTGCCATGGTAATTAAAGAAAGGTAGAGGTCCGACCGGTTTCGAGGAGCGGATTGTGGAATCCGTGCAGAGAATTGGCTGAGCTTCCTCGTCTGTGAACTGGAATTAGGTAGCAATCAATTCACTGTCTTTGCGCGTTCCGTCCCTTACTGCTGGGTTTTTCTTCCACCTGCTACTTTTATTTCTCTATCATACTAACACTCGGTCTATATAGGTACCTGAAATGTACAAATAAATGCAGTTTTATGCCCAGAGGCATACAAAAAGAGAGACAGAGAGAGACATGTTGCCTGAGATCGGCTGTGAACATATTTCACTGTGTAGGGCGGTGTGGCTGGCTCTCTGTTTCGCTTGGCCCTTTAAAAGCCCTAGGCGCTTGTTAGTTTATTTTTCTTACTATTGTGTGGCTGGTTATTTATGGAGCCGTTTGCTGCAGTGTACTCTCTAGGCCCCTGCCTGAGTCTCGGGCTAGAGTTTTAAATGAAGGAGGTTTCCAAGCCTGAGGGGGTACAATTATATATTTATTTAAGCCTAGGTTAGTCTTTCCTCACAGAAAGGAAAAGAATAGAATTCTGGAACATTTCTGCCCTGGGATTTCCACGTGAGGCAGTCCCCTTATTTGGAAAGAGTGTTTGAGGACCATTCCTAAAAAAAAAAAAAAAAAAAAAGCGTTACATTTTGAAATTGCTTGCTGCAAAATGAACATTCTCTATGCCTTATATAACGGTTTCTTTCACATTTTTGAGTAGATGCATGCACACATATGTGTTTAAAACAGTGATGCTTAATTATAGTGATACCAATTTGCAGTAACCAGACTGTGACACCACACATCCCTATGGGGTCCTTCTAAATCTGCGGTAATATGAAAGTGTCAGGCAGGCGGTCTGTGTATTATAAATAGGGTACTTCATCCATGATAAGCGATTATTATCTTTCTTTCCCAAGTGTAAAAGACCTATATAATTCAAGAAGGTGCAAGTGATTTAGGTCTCTTGAGTAAGAATCCAATGAGTCCTGAAGGGGACCCTATCTGTGTCGTCTTATTGTTGAACTTGAAATATTCAATTTATTAGGCTGGAATGTATTTTTAAAAGTCAAAGCTGGGTAAAATAATGTTGGAAGCTGTTAGAGCACCGGCACAATTTAGGGTCTCATAGTAACTATTGTACAAGAAGCCTTCATTCACATTAATAAAGAAGAAATTGTTATTGAATTTTACTGCTTTTTCTACTGACAATTAAATTAGTGACATTGTGTCCCTCAATTTCCTTATCTGTAAAATGGACCAAAAATACCCGAGCACTGTAGTAGGAATAAATCATGTGTATGAAAGTTCTTTAAGCTCTTGTGAGCAGAGGTGCTATATAAACCCAAAACATTATTATTAGTAATGGAATACGGTAAAACCTATAATGCTATAAATAGGATTTTTTAAATTCACTAATTTAAAATGTGGGCTGTATTATCGAGATGTTAGTGAAATGACCTGCTTGGTCCTGCTGTGACTGACGGATGCCAATCGTCGGTCACATTACATCCACATTCTTATTACTGGGAAGTTTTACTCTATCTACAGTTTATTTAGCACTTAATTTGTGCCAAGCACTGTTCTGTATGCTTTACGCATATTCTTTTTTTTAAAAAATAATTTTATTTACTTATCTTTAGAAGGGAAGGGAAGGAGACAGGGAGAGAAATATCAATGTATGGTTGCTTCTCATGCATCCCCTGCTGGGAACTGTCCTGCAACCCAGGCATGTGCCCTGGACTGGGAATCGAACCGCGATCTTTCGGTTTGCAAGCCTGTGCTCAATCCACAGAGCTACACCAGCCAGGGCTTTACACATATTCTTTAATCCTCATGACAGCCCTATGAAGAGTCTCAACCAACGTGTTATTTTGAGAGAATAGATGTGTACATGGATTTTTTGTTTCTTTTGCTCTGTGATTCTTCCTTTATGTTTATGTTACCTCTTTGTTTTGGCTTTGTTCTTTTGGTATATGCATAAAGAGGGTCCAACACAAATAACTCCCCTTTTTAATTACAAAATCATGAGCATGTAATTCTAGCTTGTAATTCTGTAATGTAATATCACACTCAAGCATACCATATGACATTTTAGGTGCAATGTTCAAATTAAAACTAGAATTATTATACCCATATTATTACCCTACTAACGACACTTAAGCAGGCCTTACTTCTGCCTAACCCTGTATATTAATAAAGAAGAAACTTCAGAAAGTTGTGTGTGTGTGTGTATACATATATATACACATTATATAGCAACTGCCAAAAGGCTTCTTCTAGTTTAACATATATTACAACCTTATGCATATTATAATGTTCATCTTTTCCCCCACAAATAAAAATGTCGATGTCTTGATTTCTCCTCCCTCCCATTTGAAAGGCGAGGTGACATTTTCATTTTAGGGGATTAACAGTGACTAAAGCAATTTTAAAAATTATTTTCTGATAGAATGGCCTTCAGCCCAGGAAGTGATGCTGCTCTCTCCAGTCCGAATTCAGCACTTTCAGAGAGTCCTCGAACAAAGACATTTCCGCCGAATGAAGAGGAGATATTTTACATGAATTGTAGAGCTGCCTACTTATCTGTTTTCAAAAGCAGCTTAGAAAACATTATTTCTAAAGATCAACTTTACTTAGGTAAAAAATTTTAATGGAAATATTTTGTCTTAGTTGTTGAGAGTTAATAGATCAGAAAGACTAGAATTGGAATTACGTTGTTGGATCACCCCAATTTTAGTGGTTTGAGCAATGGAACTGCCACATTATACTGTTGTGCCATTTTCTATAGTTACATATTGTAGAATCTTCAAAATAAAACTTTCATGTTTATAAAGGATAGAATAGTATTTTTAAACCTTCTGTCAGTTACTTGCTTAAATTTTTTAAAAATTCTTATTTTGGTACTTTAAGATTTACAATAGAATTATAACACTTTTGGCATCAGAATCACTACTTTGAATTTGACCTATATTTAGGAAAATGCAAAGGATATATAAAATGGGATGAATGGTTTTAGAAGAGAAATAAGTGAAATTTTAAAAGAATTAAAAGAGTCCTGGGTTTGGATTTGTGTGAGTATGGTTGGGTTGGTGGGGGTAGGGGGAGACTGGTCTTTTTTTGCTTCTCTCCATGATCATATCTTAAATTCCTCTGGTTGCAGATATCCCCCAAAACAATCAATTTGGTCCTTGCCCAGGTGTATCAAATGACTTGGAGGCCTTCAATATTAAGAGCATTAAACAATAACACTGAATACTCATGTTATTTTCATCAAGGCTAATAACTTTATGAGTAGAGAAACTGAGTTATTTTGCCAATTTTAGAAGCATTTTCCTTAAGTAAAAAAAATCTGACATATTTTTCCAACATTTTGGGTTTATATTCAGTAAAATCTGTCTTTGAGAAAATCCATTTGGGGAATATAAAATAGTTTGCATTTTACTATAAATTATACTTTTAGTTTTTTCTCTTTATTCTTGACAGTAGAGACACGAGTGTCTTGACACTAGGCCAAGATCACAAAAGTTTGAAAGTTTCAAATACGGGCCCTGACTAATGTGGCTCAGTTGGTTGGGCATCATCTTGCAAAGCAAAGGGTCGCCGGGTCCATTCCCAGTCAGGGCACACACCTGGGTTGCCAATTTGGTCCCTGGCTGGGTCATGTACAAGAGGCAGACAATCGATGTTTCTGTCTCACATCGATGTGTTATCTGGGGGAGTAATAATGTGTTGTTTGTCTCTTCGGTGCCATGTACACTTTTGGTTTTATGGTGGGATACTCTTTGTAACATGGTAGTGACTGATTTCACAATATCTAGATTTTAAAAAAGTAGTAGTATAAATCAGTGATGTCTCTTTCTTACGACTATATCTATATTCTTCTGCCATGCTGCATGTAACATGTGCTTTGGCATTCCATTTCAAGGTTAAATAGAGCAGTACCAGTACCAGAACTTTACAATTACTTTTTCCCCCATCTTATAAATAATATAGGTATTGTAGACTTATGTCAAAGATTCAAGTAAACTCTGGCAAAAGATTAGTATCTTGGTGTAAATCTTTAAACAGCTGCAGTTACATAATGTTTTTACTGTTATCGGACTTAATTATGGGTTCCAACTAACTCTCTTCTTAAAAATTATATTTTATTGATTATGATGTTACGATTGTCCTGACTTTTCCCCCTTTGCCTCCCTTCACTCAGCACCCCCAACTCCCTCAGGAAATCCCCCCCAACATTGTTCATGTCCATGGGTCATGCGTGTAAGTTCTTTGTCTACTCCAGTTTCTGTGCTGGACTTCACATCTCCATGGCTGTTCTGTGACTGCAAATTTGTACCTCTTAACCCCCTCACCTCTTCACCTGTTCCCCCACATGCCCTTCCCATCTGGCAGCCATCACACCCTCTCTGTGTCCATGATTCTGTCTGTTCATCTGGTTTGCTCAGTTTTTTTAGATTCAGTTGTTGGGAGATTTGTGTTTTTTGCCTTTCATTGTTCATAGTTTTGATTTGCTTCTTTTTATTAAATAAGCCCCTTTAACATTTTATATAATAATGGTTTGGTGATAATGAACTCCTTTAGTCTTTTTCTTGTTTGGGAAGCTCTTTACCTGCACTTCAACTCTAAATGATAGCTTTGCTGGTTAGAGCAATCTTAGCTAGAGGTCCCTGCTTTTCATGACTTAGAATGTTTCTTGCCAATCCCTTCTAGCCTGCTAAGTTTCCTTTGAGAAATCAGCTGACAGTCTATGGCAACTCCTCTGTAGCTAACTAACT